AATCAGCGAAAAACCACTTTTGTAACCAAAAGCGATGCAGATTCTGAAAGGAGACACTTCGGGCTATCTTTCCATGTGCTTATCTCAAAACCGATGTTTTGGCCGAAAATCATCATTTCTTAGGGGGGACCCGTTAACTGAGATAATTTTTGTGAGTTTACGAATATTTCAAAAGTCTCTTGGTTATTTCACTCTTTCCAATTCCTTCTCTTAAGAAATAAACAATATCTGAGAGAAGCAGCCATAATTGTTCTATAATGGACATGCTACTTAGGGATCCTATCAAAGTTCGTATCGATGACTTTATTCATCGACGACTGAATTGGAAAGAAAAGTGGGTACAGTATTGTAAAATCTGTCAGAAAAACGGAATTATCATAGTCAAATAACAGAAAGAATATATATGTATATATTTTTTTCTTTACAGTACTTGACTTAATTGATTTGTATATTTACACTATCATTAAATAGTGGAGTACAGAAAAGAATATATACATATATCGGCTTCTCCACTTAACGGGCTCCTTCGTTTCAGAAGTTTATGTAAAATTTTTTTTCGCTGTTAGTTTTGCGACACACTTCATTAAACGCACTTTTTCACGCTGATCGCGAGTCAGAGGTCGAAAACTGAAAATCTCAATTTTATAGTAGTTTTCGAGCTTCAAAACACACTTTAAAAGCTTTCAAATTTTGAGATCGGATTCGGAAATAGAATGTATTAAAATCTTCATTCACATGAGAAAGTTTCTTCAGTTAATTGAAATCCATCTGTCTTGTTCTTGTCTCATTCTTGTCAAATATTTCTGTGATGTCTAATTTTAGAGAAATTATCAAAGTTCTAAAACCTCCAAAAAAAAACCGTCCATTTTTGGGAATTCCGTTACGGCCTTCATTTTTCCTATAACTTTTGATCGAGTGAATGAAATCAACGCAAAATTTTCTTTATAGCAGGACCAGACGCGATACACATTAGGAAATAGAAATTCCGTTAGAAAATAGAAAGTTAGGAAATAAAAATTCCGTTACATTTGGACAGGCCGATATGTTCTTTCTGTTATGTGTTCCTTTTCTGAGGCAGATTGTACAGTACTGTATTTAATTTTCTTTCTAATCCAGCTGACGGTGAAAATATTCAACTTTGTTGACTTTTCTTAGTTCCGAGAGCTTAGTCGATTTTGGAATGTGTTGACCCCTTTACTCATATAACCATATACGAAAAGCATACTACTTCAATACGTGCTCTGGTCTATCGCACAACATACAAAGCAAAGTTTAAATCAAATCTGTCGATATAACTACCTTACTTTAAAAGTAGATCGTTATTAATATTTGTAAATGTTTCGCAAATAATAAATCGTGTTGATACTCGGAAGAGAATCTAACTGTGATTGAGATGTAGTTTCATACAAACATGCACAGTTTGTTTCCTTCTGCTTATTTCTTTTCTTTATCGAAAAAGGATGCAGAGTTAAGGTAAAAAATACATTTTTCTTTTTCTCTTTTTGTATGATAACTTGTGTGTAGCGTTCTGTATGTTTTTACCGTAACTACGCGTTTTTCATTTCAATAAAAAAAAAAGAAATATGGTTAAGGAAACAAACTGTGCATGTTTGTGTGAAACTACATTTTCAGTCGTTCCACAGCCAAACTCTTTTATAATCATCAACATGATTTACTTGCGAAAAATTTACAAATCTCAATGCCTATCTAAGATATCACTTATAGATAGGATGTGAAATTTCGAGTATAAAGTGCTCCTATTTCCCCTCACATATGAGAGAAAAGGAAAGAAAAGGTAATTGTGTGTATTTAATCATTTTTCTGAATTCTTTTTAAAAACTTACCTTTCAATCATTTATTTTTTTACAAGTAAGATGATTGTATACAATGTGTATGCTTGATTTCACACAGAAATGAAGAAAAGTGACTTTTTTTAAAAAGATTGACTTGAGAAAATCAGAAATGGTATGACAATAAAATTGTCATTTAATACACAGGCTTCTCATCTATATAACTAGACCAGTCACCGTGTTCATAAATTTACCTGATATCTTCTCATATGTGTCCTGCTTCATACCTGCTTATCCATGTTTGAGGATATATAGAAAGAAAGAGAATACTGCATGAGAAGAACACAAGATATGACCTATGTGCACGATTCTTGCACCAAGATAAATTCTAGTTCTAGCTCTAGCATAAATAATATAATCTGACATTGTTAGGCAAATAAATACTGTTCTAAGCTCTTTATAGTTCTGTATTTTTTAACGATAAAAATGATATGATTAATCAAATTGATTAATTTTTCTACCTTGAGAGAAATTGTCATCATCAATTTATTCCTCGTTGAGAAGTAAAGCAGATCGAGGAGTCCTCGATCTGTTTTTGGAATTTCTGCCTTGGAATTTCTGCAAATGAAATTTTTGTATTAGCATTTCGACAGATTTTTACAAAAATACGAATTCATTTAGAATTTCTGACTTTTACAGTAACTTTTTGGAATTCTGACAGTTGTCCAAATTCCGAATATTTTTGGAATCCTGACAGTTGTCCAAATTCCGAATATTTTCGGAATTTTGACAATTATTTAGCCAAAATTATTAGTATCATAGGAATTTAACAAAAATTTGCCTTAGGCCGTTAATGACCTCTAGTGATTCGTGTTTGTTGTATGTATTGTTGTCGAAGGTCGTAGTGGAATTTCGATAAAATTCTCTACTTTAATGAAGTGAGAGAAAAACTGCAACTGTATTTTGAAAGTTGTTGTGAAACAAGAGGAATAGTTTCTATGTTTGAGTGTTCTGCTATTCTGTTCTGTAGACAAAAGTAAAAATTGAGGAAAATTTGAAATGAATGTTTTGTTATTGTACGACGGCACTATCTATAATACTAGTTTTTTTGAATAAATGTTGCTAAATTTACTGCGTATTAAATTAATTAAGTCGTGATATTACGTTTGACGGTGTTGGAATTTCGAGGGTTTTGTGAAAAAGTCAACAATTTTCAGAATTTTGACAACGCTGTCGAAATTCAAAATAATTTCTAAAATTTTGCAAATTCCATTGGAATTTCTGCATTTTTTGAAATTTTCATGAAATTTCTAAATTCGCAGATATTGCAAAAGCAGATCGACAAGTTTACCTCATTATGTATTCTTTTCGTATAAAAAGAAAGAAAGAGAAGGGAGAAGTGAATGACAAAACGAAGGAATAATGCATCGGGTATACCGAAAAAAGTTAAAAAGAAAAAGAATAAACGACTAATATTAAAAATCAATTAAATATTTTCCTTGTTAAAAGATAGAAAAATATTTAAGCTTTTCGCCTTGGATAGAAAAATATTAAATTATTTCATTCAAATAGAAAAGTATTTAAATAAGGTACAAACGTTAGATTCCGCATGTTCGTACCTTCTTGGTAGGTTCAAATTGCGACATCAGTTCCTTCATTTAAAATGAGATAAACGGGATAGAAAAATATTTAGTTATTTTAAAATAAAGGAAAAATATTTAAACATTGAACGAATTAATATTTAAATAAAGTGGAAAAATATTTAATCAATTTTTAATATTAGTCGTTTAATATTTCTCTTTTTAACAGTAGCCTATAGACCCAATTCAACTTGCCTTTAAAAATGCCTTTAAAAGCATTTTCTCTTCATATTGTATAAAGAATAAAGAGAGAAAAGAATCAACGTCAATTATCTGGTTGAGGCTGTAATGACAATGGCAGAGCCTTCTTCGGATTTATTCTTCTCAGCAAAGGTCTTTCGTTATGGATTAAAACTAACACCTACCTACAGTAATTCTTGAGAAATGAACGAGAGAAAAAGAATCGTATATAATTTGAATGGTTACCTCAAATGGTTACCGGTGTGTGAAATAAAGCTAAACGCTAAACATTTAATCATGCAAATTTGTTTTCTTTCAATTATGCAGAGAACGACCACAAAAAACAAGAAAGAGAATCACGAAGTTATTTGGTTTTGTTGTTATTGCACACTTTCGACAAGAATATTTCAATGAGAGCCATTCGATCAGGGAATACCATGAGTTAGATTTACATAAGTTAATTATCTCCAAAGAAATAAAAAAGGAAATGTATATAAATCATAATAAATAGAATAATTTCTTACGTTCCATATATCCATTTTGTCCTGTAGATAATATGCCGTGCTTCAGACGATTGTGCATGATCACCACAGAGGCCATCTTATCAGTTATGGATTGCATATCAGGGCTAACTGTGACATGAATCGTACAATAAATTATGACATTATTTAGAATGAATGTATAATCTTACTGCATTTGCAACAGCTACAAAAATACATGCGAAATACTTTTTACTAGACAGTATTCAGAATTAAACCGAAGAATAATCAACGCAACAAAAAAGTGAATCGGTCGAATTAAACATGTGTCACTCTTTTATTTGTTGTTGATCGTCACTTTCTCTTCTGTACAATCGTTTTCATCATCATCACCATCACCACCGCTTCTCGTCATTACCAGCCCAAATGGGACCACCACAACCACCAGTTGAAGATTTCACTACCATAACTTGTCGCTATATATATATTTCATCAAAGATATTTGATGGGTGCTGCATGACCTGTTTTACCTATCTCGTATTCTATTCGGGAACAGTGACAGATGGCAAAATCAAGAATAATTTCGCATGTTCTGAAGAAATTTACATGTTCTTGAGTTAAATGGACGTGGGGACGGATGGGGGAGGGGGGCGAATGAGTGTGAGTAGATTCTACAGCATATCGTTGGTTTTCTGGTTGATGTACCCTAACTCTGCTGAAGCAGTAGCATGGAAAATAATGATTGTAGCAAAACTGTATTGTTTAAAAATTAAAATATGAGAGTAGGATCCCTCCGAACAGATTGGATATGATTAGTCCATATTGGATCCTATGGGGGCGTATTTGTCCTATTGGGACCAATAGGGTCCAATTGGTCCCAGCAGGACCCAGTTGGTCTTAACTGTAGGTCCCTATTGGTCCCAATAGGACCCAATTTGGTAATGGCGAGTTCCATCACCATCACTATCACCATCATCGTCATCATCATTATGAATAAATTCCTCTAATTGTTGAAATGCTAAATTACAAAATGGACCGTCTTGTGATATTTTCAATGTTTTTTCTTTTAATTGTTTTCTTATCGTTTTCGATAAATTCATACTATAATACAATAATAATACTTTCAATTTTTTTAATGGATATAATATAAATAAATCTTTATCTGTATATTCTTCTCTATTGCTGTTGTATGGGTGTAATAATGATAATTCTTCCAAATTGTTAATTATCGATATACTTGTGAATGATGGAAAACAAACATATTCTAAGCTTAATATAATTAAATTATTATATTGAGCTAAACTAATTAATAAATTATTTAAATCTTCTCTATCTATATTTATTCTATTGAATGATAGATTTTTTAGATTAACAAATTGTTTTAAAATATTTACATGTTCTTGAGTTAAATGGACTTCATATTCATCTTCGGTACAATCTGCTTCTCTCGGATATTGCATCATCATTAATTCATCATCCATGATATGTTTAGCGCTTACTTCTAATTCTTTCAACATTTCTTTTAATGAAAGTAAATACTTGAAACCATTAATATTTAATTTACTACGTAGAAATGAAAATCGATGTGATTTTAATGAATTAATAGTTGGTATTTTAGATAAATAATATAATATTTCATTTGTAATTATTGTTTGTTCAGGACTGATATATTCTAATCGATGGAAGTGGATCAGCTGATAAAATCTCTAGATCATTGGGCAAGATTTCAAACCATTCTAAATGTACTAAGTTAGAAAGTAATTGAATTTAACTGTTTTATTCTACTTCTTGTGCATCTATAATTATCTTGACGAATAATTAACTTTTTTAATTTTGTTAAATGTTGAAAATATTTTCCAGTATCAAATTCAATTTTAGTACTTGATCTAACAAGAATAAAAAAATGTGTTAAATTAGGAAGAAGATGTAATGAAGATAGAAGGAATAGGCAGGATGTGACTAGATTTGAAAGTTTTATATTCAAATTTGATGATGAATAAGGTTGTATAGCTAAAATCAATGTCTGTAATGTTTGGGAAATACAATTAAACAGGTTCATTGTAAACAATGGAGTTAATGAGATGAAACATAATTTAAGAAAATGTAATGACGTAAAATTAAATTGAAAATTTATTAATGTGTCAATTGATAGGCCATTTTCATATTCACCAATTACAATTTTATTAATATGACGTAATATTTTAGAATTTGAAACAGTAACAAGTTGAGTTTGATTTAGTAACGTTAATTTTGTATTTTTATTATAGCATAATCTATTTAAACTCAATATATTATACCAAGTTTTACATGTAAGTGAAACTGAAATTAAAGATTCGATGGGTAAAAATTGAAAGATGAATTGGTAACAAATTGAAGGAATTGAGGATGGATCGAAGAAAATGGGTAAATTATTAGACGGACAGATGTTTGGTTTGTTTAACTCAGTTTGCATATCACCTAATTTTCTCTTCTTATTTTCCATTGTTTTGCTACTAATTAAATATAAGTTTATAAAAATTTATCTATAACAACAAATAAACACTTTTTGTTATACACACAAAAATAATGTATCGCGAAAACGCGTCGCAGTAAGTAGAATGTATTGCATCTTGTATGATAAATATGTGTCGCAATTTAACTGGTGCAGTTGCTAGACGTTGTCACGGACTGTCTTTAGGTTATTTGTATAGTTAATATCGAAAAAAATATTGCTATAGCGTTCTTAGATGTTGTGTTCGGTACTTCTAGATTGTAAAAAATAACATTTTCATCAGATTAGATGAAGTTTTAGATGACGCTGGCATGATAATATATTCTAGAATTATAGGGTAGTTTTGGCTAAAAACAATTTTCTCATTACAAGAATTGAAGTTTAACTTGGTTTTTGCTTTTTTGTTGCGCTTTTGCACGTCTTCTAATTCTATTGGCCTAATTGGAACCAATCAGACCCTACCAGGTATGTCTAATTTTCAATTTTCCTTAGGAAGCATTTTTAACATTATAGACTACTCCATCGAGTTTTCTCATCTCAACATCATAAGGAGCGATCAAAATAGACTTAAAATATTTTAAAATCGAAAACAATTCCAAAAACATTGCTTCTTCACTGATTTTTATAGCTTCTGTCGAAAGTATCGCATCTCTGTAGTAAAAGATGTGTTTCAGTGCCAATGGGAAAAAAGTGTCGCAGTGAGTACCTAGTGCACCAGATAAAATTATCGAAAAATGTAATAATTTCCCCACGTAAAAATGTCGCAATTTGTCCACGCGTTATTTTTTACTGTATAGTAGAAAAAGTGCTAAATAGTGAGGAGCATGAAAGGAACCTTATGTAACATACAACTCTTGCAGTAGTAAAATCTCTTAAACTTGTTTTGTTTGGCAGAAAACCGTATTTTACTTCTAAAATGTCCCGGGATTATATAATGAAATCTCTCGGTGAAGAAAAGATGATTTCAGTGTATTAGATATGCTATTCAATTCCTCAAACACTGGAAAATTCTTTGAAACATGGACGAAAAGCCTGAAACGCTCATAAAGAGTAACACGACTCAATACACCTATTTTTTAACAGTTTCGCATCTAAAATTCAATTAAACTAAGTACGGTCTACAAATCAAAGATAATTGTATGAACAACGGTGAAATTCATACTGGTCGCACTGAAAGATATCGGTATAAAAACTTACAAGAGAAAAATACAAAAAATCGATCTCTGGTGTTCTCTCTACTTTAATATCGTCTTTCAAATAGGAAAATAAGGGCCTAGCTTGCATCCTGATTGAAATATCACGGCATTACTAGCACGTGAAACATGATGCAACACGATGCTTAGAAGAGTTAAAAAGAGGCTGTGTAAGATATAAAAATAAACATATTTCAAGCAACGTTCATCTACGATTTACTCTACTCAAGGCTTGAACAACTGGGTTCAGTTAAACTAAACAATAACTAGAAGGTACCTAGCGTGGTCCTATCTTCCGTCAGCTTTCCGAACTGTTTTCTCTGCTACCCGTACTAGTACACAGATAGTAGCGAAGATATTTACTTGTTCAAATTCCTTAAATCTCTGTAATACGCAGCAGGATCACTCTGTGAGGTTGCGCATAGCCATTTTCTGACCCGTCATGGTCGACTGAGTACTCTACATGTACTTCATCGCCATGAACCGTATCATCTGATCGCCATAGCATATTTTGTTTTGTGGATGCCGATACAAAGTTTTGATGATCCTGGACGTTCAGCTACGGATAAATACCATTCGACAGACTTTGACGATATCTAATGACTGATACATATGAGTAATTCTGATAAAAGTAGTACCATTTATTTTCAAAAATTTGACCAACAGAAGAAACAAATGCTTGGGTAGTTGAATATCATTTGTAGGTAGTGGGTGCCTGGTAGTACTAGAAAAAGTCAGTTTGCAAACTACCACTGATTTGTGTCTTGGATTTTAAAAATACCGTGGATTTTGAATGCAAGGAGATAAGATCTTCTCTATTGATTTTCATGCATAAATAACTGAGATTATTCTGGAAGCAGATAATTATAGATTAAAAACTGTGTACTTCATCTACTGACATACTCAAAAACGGTTTCACAAAACTTTCAGTATCGCTAGTCTTCTGGAAACCTTGGATTTCCAGAAAGCCTTTCCCCACCTATTTGAACGCCGTATATGCACATCCTTAAATTCTCCATGTTGTAAAACCTTTACACTAAAAATTTGCCTTTGTTCACGAGTGTTAGCTTAAAGTTACAAAAAAATATCCAAAAGCAAACGGTTACGTGACATTTCCTAGTATTTTCTAGTTTTCTTCCTTATAAAGCAATTTTAGTCTTTGTCATTTTTACAGGATCATTAAATGGCTAGACTACACGTATGGTAAAAAACAAACTTTCTATCATGTACCCCACCTAGCGTTAATAAAGCGTGAATTACACAGTAGCGAAAAGTCATCGAAGCATCGAGTTTTCGCTGTTATCTACTCTACATATCCTTATACCTTTGACGTACGAAAAATGAAGTCCAATTCCAGGGCTACTCAGGACTATATGCTTACAGGCCAAAAATAATTGGATTTTGGAACCAAGAATTCTGAACAAATTTGAGAAAATTCCAGAATTCAGAATAAAATAAATGATGTGGCTGAAGAGAGCGAAGAAAATTCTAGAATAAAAGAGAGAGAAAAATTATTATTCCACACAAAGTAACAAAGAAAAATATCATTTACAAAACGTGACTCATGTGAATCACAAGAAAGTTAACAGCAAAATAACAGTCAGATATACATGTTTTGCTTCTAACTCATTACTAGTTAAAGGTAGAAAGGCTATCTTTGCAACGACTATATGTCTAACATTGATGAGTATGTGCGAGAAATTGTTTTATCAAGTCTAGGAGAAGAAACGATTAGGACTATTTAGCTCATACTACGCTCAGACTTTAGCATAATCAGATAGAGCACGTCAAATTATGTGTATCAGGAAGTTTCAGGTTTTCGAAATCAATCGTCCAGATATTTATAAATTCCTAAATTTAAGGGTACCGTCAGAGAAATTTTACCTGAGATACTTTAGACCATATCTCAGATACGTTTTATTTCTTTTCGAAAATTATGCCTTCTTGAAATATTCGAAGAATAGTAAACATCTTGTATAAAAAACTGATTTTTTATTTTAAAAACCTTCTCACGCCGAAAGTTGAAATCAAAAACGCTTTAAAAGAACGGACCTGAGATAGTCTCTGAAGGATCTGTGGTAGAAACTTTTAGCTCTATCGGACCATTTTTTCGAGGGGTCGTAGTGTGACCCGATTAAAGGGAAAGGGACTATCGAAAAAACGCATAATGAGAAAAACACATATTGTACACAAGGATCTGTTTTTCATGGCATTTGCGGCGATGCTTATATTTCCATGAAAACTCATCGAAAAATTCTAAAGACGTCTTATTTTGAGGAGGACACATCTTCTATCATGCAATTTATAAGAAAAAATTTTGAATACATAGGAAAGAAGAGAAAATTTTTCGAAACTAAAAAATTGAGATATTCTACGCTTTTGAAGAAAAACTTCATAATTTTTTCAAGGAAGATCGTGGAGAGCTGTGAAGAGTCTCATTTTATAGTCCAGCCTTCCTTCCACATTAGATTATGTTAAGTTCAAAATGAAAAGTGTTTCACAAATTTGAGGGAATGTACGCTTAAACTATCAGAAAAAGCAACTCTTGAAAACAAATCTCGACATGAGTATTTTCAAATATATGCCAAAAATGTTGTGCATAACAAGTTGGGAATTATGAGGCATTGCCGAAAAACGAAACTACAATAAGTTTTATGCAATGTAATTGCTCTTTTAATTAAATAAAAACAAAATGTATTGTCATAACTTTAAGTAACCTTAATCGAAATAAATATATGTACCTTTACTTTGTATATGTATTCATAAATGTAATGTTAAACACCCGATAAATGCACTTAAAGATAAAAACCAACGTTATATGATACAGAATAGAAAAATGAGTTAAAAATTGCCGTTTCTTTTTTCTCTTCTGTTAAATGGAATATGATACAGCTCTTGGATCATTCAAGACAAAAATCTTTATTCGATGCTTGAAAGCTTGTATGGTCAAAGTGGAGATTACATCAGTATACGTCCCAGTCTTACGATCTGCACTTTACACTCTCGGCATTTTGTGTGATACTCGCATGAATGGGACTGAAGATATTTACCGAGACTTTTTATGCTCTCTAAAAAAGCGTATTTTATTGTTTATGATGAGGGAAACTTCAAATTAAACTTAAGACTAATCCTAGCTCATTCTAGCTTAAGTGTTCTAAGCTCTTCAAAGAAGTGGAAACAAAATCAATGAACGTAATTGTAGTTCTTCACCTAAACGTTCTGCCTTACCAAAAAAACAAAGACATTTCTCGGGTATCTCATAAGAGGTTGATCGCTGGTTAAATATTATGGTAGATTTTTCCCTTGACTCCAGTCTTGGATCTCACAAAATGGTTGTCTGTCTGTATATCCACAAAATACGGAAAAATGACTGTCAGATATTCCATGGATTAGATAGTTATAAGGGAGAAAAACAAGAAAACATATTTAACGACGAGAGAGAAACTATTCAAAGAGATGACGTGAAATATCTACTAATGTAGAGAGAAAAAAGGATAAGCAAACTTTTTCTGTAGTCTGGGGGCAGATATCAGCAGAAATCAGTCAGTTTTGATAACACGAAAAAGTTGTCTATGGATAATAAAGCTCACAGAATATAGATAGTCTATTATAGAGAAACGATTAGGAATATTTCCATCCCCTTGGGATCTACAGAGCATGTTCAAATGACTTTCTAGTTTTATTGGGCTCTTTTTCTTCAATTTAGAAATATTTTAAGACTGCTGGAAATTTTGAAGGATCTCGAAAAAATCTTTTAGATTCACATTAAATTACCCAACTTACACATCAAATTCTTCAAATGTACGTTTTTGCTCCTTTTGTTTCAAAAACTGGTTTTAATATCGATAGAAAAGAATTGTACAAATCCAAAAGTCTTTCGTATGTCCATCATTCCTAGTCCAATTTTTCCGTATGAAACGCTCCATAGAACCAAATTTTCTTCTGTTTCCATTTGGGAAACCAATGTTCTTTCAAAATTTGTTTGAAATCTTGATACAGTTTTCTCTGTGGCTCACTCCAACCGACTTCAGCATAAGCTGCTAAGCGCGGAAACACTTGCCGTTGCATTGATTGATCTGTGGGAATCCATTCAGACCACATCTGACAGCCAAGGCCAAGAATTTTCGAATGATATTGAGGTGAGAGTTCAGCGGGAACAGGATCAAATGAATAAGCGTGCTTCAGGGGCATACGATCATAATTATGATCTAAATAAGTTGACGAATGAAGTGAATTGACGACTAGGGGTGGCACTTTACTAGTTACTCGACGTTACTTTACTAGGTAAAGTAACGAACTTAGTTACTTAGTTACTTAGCAAGTAGTAACTATGTTAGTTACTCGTTACCAGTAACGAGTAACTAATGTAGTTACTTCGTTACCAGTAACAAGTAACTAATATAGTTACTTCGTTACTCTCGAGAAAGTAACGAAGTAACGAAATTTATTTTTTAAGGAAAAAGCAATGTTCAACTTC